TGGAGTTTATTTTATGAATGTAATAATAAATACAAAGCACAAGTTAATTAATGACGTAGATAATTGAGTTAACAGACCATAATAAATTAAACCATGCTGATATTTAACGCCCACCAAATATTAAACAAAAATATCCAATGACTTCTTTTAGAAACTATAAGTCTATAACCGATATAAATAATAAATATTTCAGCATGGACTTACGTACACGTATGCTTTTAGTAGTTTCAGTTTGATTGGTTTACTTAGTTTCCATAATAATTATAATCTCTTTTAACCAATTTATTAACAAGTAAATATGGACTAAAAATTTACAATCCCAGACTATTAATTTAGTAACTACATTTATAACTTTTTTTTTGAAAGCCAAGTATGTTGGCATATTTTAATTAATGAAAGGAATCAAGCAGTCAGGAGGGACATAGTCCCAATACATAGAGTGTTCTTGATCAAAAGCTAGCGTAGCTAAAGTATGAGCACTAACATTAACTAGTCTAGATACAATATTAAAAGAGCAATACGTAAAAAGGGCCATAATTGCCCGACATTGATCCTCCACCACTCCTTCATAAGATAGGATGGTCGCAGGACTAGATAGTAAGTGATGTCGTAGTTGTGTGCAATCAGTCAGCATATCCACATCAAGTTCGTTCCAGTCCTTAAGCCAAGATAACGCTTCTCTGCATGCTAGGGCCTCCGCCATAAGAGGTGACAAACAAGTCATGAGCTTGCCATTTGTTGCGGCCTTGAATGAACCATCCGGGTGTAGTAATACCACACCATAAGCCGCGTCGCCCGACTGCGGTCGAAAACCTCCGTCGAAGAAGCAACGCGGGCGTCCGTGAAGCTCCGGTGTAGGCTGCTGCGCATACGCCATTCTTGCCGCGGTCGCACGCCTCCATGTAGTGGGAGGTGGCGGTAATGCTCTCTTCCACACAGCTTCGTTCCGGGCATTCCATAAATGATAAAGGACTCCTACCAGTGTGGCAAATTGCTCCTCCGTTAAGTTGGCCATAGCACCCATTATCCATTCTGGAAAAGTAGCAGCAATAATATTTGTAATAGGCAAACCCGAAATATTCCAAACAATTCTAGAATAATCACAAGAAGTTAATGCATGCATAACATTCTCATGGGATGTATCACACATTGGGCACATTTATAACTTATAAGTTCGCATCCCAACAATAACGACCTATTATGAGGTGTTTGGTAGAGAAAAAATTGGACAAATTTTTATGTGGATCATGAATACAAGGTACAATTTTAATATATTAAAAGTACATTATGTGATAGTATACAAAATAATATACTTTCAGTACTCAAATAATGTATTTTTTATGAATACAATGTACATTTTTAATATACTAAAACTACATTATTTGTGTACTGAATGTACATTATTTGATAATATACAAAATAATGTACTTTCAGTATTAAAATAATGTACATTACTTTTCATTAATACAAGGTACATTTTTAATATACTAAAAGTACATTATTTGTGTACTGAATGTACATTATTTGATAGTATACAAAATAATTTATTTTCAGTACTTAAATAATGTACTTTATATACACAAATAATGTAATTTATACTATACTTATGATCCACATAGCCGTGTAGACAATGATTCATAGAATAATGACTCGAGGAATTGCAATTTCTTTCCCACTTAATTTCAAGAAGCGGAAAATTACAGAGTTTGGTTGGGAGGAATTGCAATTATATGAAATTATAATTCTTAAAATATGATGAATTGGAAATCCCACATTGCCCTAGTAATTGCAATTCCATAATACATGGGAATAAAATTTGGATTGTGATGACCAAATTGCCCTCCATAATAATCATATATCTTTCCATAAGAATTGTAATTACCCGGACATTTTGATCTTTATAATACTTATTATATTTCAGTTCTCATATATGTCAAACACTATAATTGAAAATTCACAGCAATTCTATTCATATCTACCAAATAGTGGAATTTGAATTTCCACATTACTTCTTTTTCACAAAATTACAATTTCTTTCTCCGCTCCTAATTCCCTCATTGCAACCAAGCGATCTATTACAAGCCGTTTGGTTGACAGTAATTGCAATGCAATTACCTCCTAATTCAGTGAAATCCTCCCCTATGAATTGTAATTCAGCGCAAAAATGGAGAGATGAAGCTATTATTATGAAATTTATGCCCTTCTCATAATACAAGATCTCATTAGCTCCCATCCACTCATCTGTACACTACATTTCTGGTTGGCAAAATAATAATAATAATAATAATAATAATAATAATAATAATAATAATAATGGTTTTATTGGAATCGGGTCCACCATAAACCGGGTATAAGAAATATAGAACGGAATAAAAGAGCTATTATTACCAGTGGAGCGCGAGGCCCACATAAACGCGCACAAACCCAATGTCGCAGGCCCATAAACAATAGTACAGGAAAGTTATACGGTAAAAAGGGAAATAAACGGATAGACAGAAACCTGAATTACATGCATAATACCGGAATCGATCTTTGGACCAATTAGGAGAGAGAGAAGACTCAGACCGCCAGGCTACCAAGTCGTTTGTGTTTCTTGCCATGCCCTAAACTGACCGCAACCCCCGCTTTTATACCCTCTCAGGACTTCCGCATACCACCCACGTGTACAACATCTACAGGCCTCCAGCTCCCACCATACATGTGTCCTCCCCTCTCCGCACGTACCCCCAACTGCTCGAACGGGACCGATCTTGTCACGCACTATCCCGGGATCCTTGCTCCTATACGCATCGCCCTCCGTCAGTTGCCCTTCCGTGCGCAGCATGCATGCACTAGCCGCCATTCCAGCCACATGCATGCATGTACGTAACCACCACCTGTACGCGCAGCCGCCACCTTGTACGCATGCAACCATCATCCATACGCGCAGCCACCACCGTGTACGCATGCAACCGCCACCCGTACGCGCAACCGCCACCTTGTACGCATGCAACCATCATCCATACGCGCAACCACCACCTTGTACGCATGCAATCGCCACCCGTACGCGCAGCCACCACCTTGTACGCATGCAACCGTCATCCATACGCGCAGCCAACACCTTGTACGCATGCAACCACCTCGCATACACGCGTGCATGCATGTTTGTGAGGTCCAAGCGTACGTATAGGCATGCATGCGAGCCCATGCTCGTGAGCCCCCCTCCTCATCCATTTGGGCTCACACTCTCTAATCGACATGGGTCAGGCTCATTACATTGTTTTCCATCAAATAATAATAATAATAATAATAATAATAATAATAATAATAATAATGTTATTATAAGGTTATTTTAGTCATTGTATCACTTATTCCCTTTCAACTCCTTGTAATCCTATTCATGTATACCAAACACTGTAATTTGAATTCCTACTTAATTCTCACCGAATTACAATTCATTTTTCTCGTAATTCCTCCCTTCCAACCAAACAACATGTTAGTATTATTGGATTGAGATGATTAACTGTGAGTTTTTTTCGTCACTAAACAAAATGGGTGGGAATATAATCAGAGGACACTTATATAGTGTCTTTTTTTTTTTTTTTTTTTTTTTTTTTTCCAACAAAGTTGATATGCATGGTAACTTTTTCTTTTTTCCCTTTATTCCCAAGCTCCGAGCTTTATCTCTCTCTATTCTATTTCTATTTCTCTATTTGCTCCTCTTCTACTTCTGTATAATTTCATTTAATACCCGTATATTAAATTTGTCAACTTCAAATTTATCTAATTTCATAAATATCAAATGTATTAAATATAATTTTATTTAGTGTTCAAAATGATGTATATGAAATTTATTAAATCATTTTCCTTAAATTTCATAAACATCTAAGATATTTAATATAACACTTTAAATCAATTTTACTAAATATCATTGTTGAAGTGTGTATAATATGCATGGCTCATTGATCCTATAATTCCGCACTCAAAACAATACCGTAACTCCACCATAAAAATTAGTTCAAGAGTAGACGTAGAGCCAAGAATCAATATGAGATTGTATAATTTACCTACGCTCCTTTCGGTACCAGGTGAACCTCTCTACGCACCGACCTCTCAATGAGAGCACATGCAATCTAATACCCTAACTCAAGAACAAAAGCTAGTACAAAAATAAAAATTTGACCCTAACTTAAATACAACTCCATAAGACTCTTGTAGATTAAGACTACACTCAATCACATTATTAGTTACATGTTAGACCAATTAATCCATGTAAGTAGCCCATTAATGTAACCAAACTCACCTTCAATCTCATGCTTTTAGAAGGGATTTATAATTTTATAGCCACAAAAAGATAACTTGGACACAATCAACCTACCAACCTCTCAACAATTATAAATATTAAGTTCATTCAAATTGAACAATAATAGGACACGTGAGAAAGAAATACTCTAAGGGAGGGAGTTTAGATCGCTGAAAAATGTTTTTCAATGATTTATAGTTTTTAAAAGTAGATGAAAATTGATTTATTCTTTGTTTGATTTAAAGTTTTTTTTTTTTTTTTTTTTTTTTTTTTGATGAACTTGAATTCCTCACATATGAGGAAAATGCTTTATTTGGTCATCTTAGGTATCTTTTTTCCATGACATTTGGAACAAAGTTCAACCTATCATGACCAAGCTACCCTCACTTGATTGTATTTGGCATAGTTTGGAGATGAAAGTTATCATATAATGCTTATTTAAATATTACTAATATTTAGTACCAGAGTATATTCTTATAATAAAATATATAATTATAATGTTTTAGTTTAAATTTTTTAAATTTATAATATTTTAGTATTATAATTTATTATATTTTAATTTATAAATTATAATATTATAATTTATTGGATTGTGAATTTGTGATGTATCTACGAGAGTCTAGAGAGTGCGAGATGGAAGTATTCAAGTATCTAATCCAGCTTACTGATGTCGCCACGTGGCGACAACCCATTCATCCTTTCGAATTTCTTGGGCCAAGCTGGCCAAGAAGCTATCAGTTCCGATCTTTCTCGTTTCGTCAAGTTGCCAAGAGAGAAAAGAAGAATTTAAATTAAAGCTTTACAGGGATGGCAGGGTTTGGTTGCTGCTCTCCTGCAATTCTCTCTTCTCCAAGGTATTCTCCTAATATTTATATATATTTTCAATGCCCTCCACTGTAATGTTTACTCTTGAAGTATTCTATTTTTAATTCTAGTTTTTTTTTCTCGTTTTTCCCTCTTGTATGCAATTGCTTTGTTGGGTTTTGAAAGCTGAGTTATATGAATTCTAGTTATAAAGACTGTATTTTTACATAAAAATAAAGAAAAAAAAAGAGAGAGAATGATAGATGTAGATCTGTAATGAATTGTACCATTTCGTTTTGCATACATGTATGTTTGCAGTGTAGTTCATGAGCCAAAAGAAAAGCCAATGAAACCAGCTTGATTGGCGTGAGTGGCCGTGTACTCTCGTCTCTTAAGAGAAGTCAGAGTTTAAACTCCTTCTCATATGGAAAAACCAATCTGGCCGGTACTTTGACCCTTAATTGGGCCGGCCCGGTGCGAATATGGATTAGTCTGAGTATGATACGGGCTTAAAGGTGTCTTCTACAATTATGACCTGTTCAGGATACCTCGTGGTCTGACAAAAAAAGAAAAGCCAATGTAGTGTTTCATATTACTTGAAATCTAGGACACTTGTGTATTAGATTTCATCATAGGAATGGAATAATAGCCAGCTAGGGGTTTGCACTTTCAGCAATCTGGGGACATCTCAGTTGGTACTCAAGACTTATCGAGGGGGGATTGTTAAAGGGAAACCACTGCGTAGAAGAGCTTTGGGGATCAAAGCAGAAGTTGAATTTGTGAATGCTGAGGAAGCGAAGAAGCTCGTTGCTGTTGATGGGTATGCAGTGGTAGATGTGCGTGACAGAACTCAGTTTGAGCGAGCACGTATAAAACAATGTTTTCATGTTCCACTTTTCATTGAAAACAAAGATAATGACTTAGGTATATATGATCCCTATTTTCGAGTGCTTCTTTTTTATAGCTGAGTTAATTAATAATGTTATGTTAATGTTGCATTACAGGAACTATAGTGAAGAGAACTGTGCACAACAATTTTTCCGGTTTATTTTTTGGTCTGCCTTTTACTAAACCAAACCCTGAATTCGTTCAATCCGTTAGAACCCAATTTTCACCTGAAAGCAAGCTGCTACTTGTTTGTCAAGAAGGATTAAGGTAAGCTGTTTACATGTTACAACTGTTATTACTATGTTCATGAAGATTATGGCTAGCTGTTAAGGTTGTCCTGTACTGAAACTTTCTCATATTTTATCTTCCCTAAATTGGTAGTGATTATCTTGTTTGGATGCTCTTAGGTCTGCAGCTGCTGCCCAGAAATTAGAGCAAGCTGGTTTCCAGAACATAGCATGCATAACGTCAGGGCTTCAATCTGTAAAACCAGGTAAACATTCATACAACCGAGCTTTTAGTCTGAGCATCTTATCTAGGAGGTCAAGAATCAAGATAAATTAGTGGAGGGTGGAATCTTTTTCCAGGAACATTTGATTCTGTCGGTTCCAAAGAGTTAAAAGATGCAGGCAAGGCCGGTTTAATTACTATACAAGGAAAGATTTCAGCTGTGCTAGGAACTGTACTAATTTGTAAGTTATCTGTCATCAATACAATGAAATTGTTTAACAAACATGTCTTCATTTCTTTCTGGTTTTGACAATTATTCTTGAACGATCGAATTCCCAGGTGCACTTCTTTTGATCACATTATTCCCTGATCAAGCAGAAAAGATACTTCAAATGACTCCTGCAAGCTAGCCCCAAAGTGTGTTTGGTTTTTTGGATTGATCTTTCTTGTAAATGATGATATCTGAAGAGCATAGCAGCATCATTGTTAGAGCAAATGTTTGGTTTAGTGTTTGTGTTTGTAATAGCCATCAAAGTTTTGGTGTAGTTCTATGTATAATGCTCAATGCTATGTAGACTAGAACCCATGACTCATTGAAGATTCAATTCTGGAAATGTAAAATATTCATAAGTAATTCTATTCATTACCTAATTTTCAGAAACTTTATATGATTTAGGAACAAAAACTCATAAACAAAAATATATAAAGCTCAATTATTAGCATAGGTTTTAAGGGTAGACTTTTAGTTGAGATGGAACATATTTCAATGTGCAGTTCAACTATCAGCTTAGATTTTTAGTTGAGATAAATCATATGTTTCAATTCATAAAATTAATAAATTGTATGAATAAGGTCCAAATTGGTCACTGAACTTCTGAACATAATATGAAAATGCAATTAGGCAACTAAATGAAAAAAAATGTGCAATTAGGCCACTAGACACCCCAAATGTAATGCAATTTCACCTGATAGCAGGTTTCCCTACCATCCATTTAACTATTTAAGTACTGGATGTTCACAATTTTATAAAAAGGTAAATTGTAAAAATTTAATATGTAAATTGTGAACATTGAGTATGTAAATTGTGTATTTTGGACCCAGATCTACGGATAGTTATGCTGTGCATCCGTATGCACCATGCATGGTGCATACAGATGCAAAAACGACGTCATTTTATTAAAAACGCGCCTCTCCTCTTAAAAAAAAAATCAGGTTCGATTCCCAGCAACAGCATTATGTTGTTTATTTATTCTGGAATTTTAGTTCATAGATTATGGAATTTTAGTTCATTGATTCTGGAATTATAGTTCATCGGTTCTGAAATTGTAGTTCATCGATTCTGAAATTTTAGTTCATAGATTCTGGAATTTTAGTTCATAGATTCTAGAATTTTTAGTTCATAGATTAGATTCTGGAATTTTAATTCATAGATTATGGAATTATAGTTCATCGATTATGGAATTATAGTTCATCGATTCTGAAATTTTAATTCATATATTGTTGCTGAGAATCGAACCTGAATTTTTTTTTTTAAGGGGAGACACGCGTTTTTAATAAAACGACGTCGTTTTTGCATCCGGATGCACAGCATAATTTGCCCAGATCTACCTTGCAGGTGGACCCTGAAATGGGCTTTTCAGGCAAAATAAGGCTTACAGGCTCAAAGCACAAATCACTCACGGCCCATTATATACGTTCAGTGTACAAGCCGCAGTTTTTCCAGTCTTCCCTGGCGTACGTTAGCGTCTAGTCTTCTCTCTTCTCTGCGTGACTGTGAAACTCCATCGATTTATCAAACTAGCAGAAATTCGGGGGAAATGCAGAACCAGGAAGACATTCGTAACCTTCCGATCGATATCGCTTTTGCTCGTCTCGGAGGTAAAGAAGTTGAATTCTCTGAATTCTATATTTTCTCCTCTTTTTTTTTTTTTTTTTTTTTTTTTGGTGCATACATGAATTATTCTGGAATTATCTGATTTATTAGCTTCTAAGTAATTCAACTGATTTTAATTATTTTTAATGGATGAAGAATGGTTGGTCGATCGGAAGAGAATTCCGGCGGACTATCGAAAACGGCTTGCAGCTGTGAGAGCAAAAATTTTGACGGCGTTTGCTTCTCTTCCCAAGGACCTAGATCCTTACTTTCATACCCTCGATGCTGAAGGTTAACTATTTTTTCAGATTAAGTGGAAGTCCGAGAAACATTGTTTAATAACTCTCGTTTGTATACACTTGCTTTGCGAATATGCTTCCGGCTGGACTTTACTTTCAACATGTGGAATTGGAAACTTCATTTCGTTCATATTTGAAATTAGAAAGATTTGGTTGTTTACAGAAACTGTGTTCTCGATTCTTTGTTTTCCTAGCCAGCATTTTTTGCATGCAACTGAAACCGACTTTTGAATGGCCTAGGCTTATTATAGGACTAGGAAACAGGAAAGAAAAAGAAAAGTATATTTCTCAAAACAAAGAGAGAAGTAACTTTAGTAAATCATTTTCTTGGTTAGCTTGTTTCAGAAAGAACTCAACATTATTGTTATTATTAGTATAGTGATAGTGATAGGATTATTACTATCATCATCATCATCATCATCTTTATTATTTCAATCATGTTTAACTTTCACTTTGTCTCCCAGGACTTGGGCTGGGTTGATTTAATTGATTAATTCTTCTCAAAGAGTTTGAACAACTTTGCAAATGGAAGTATGAATGCTCATTACGTGTAATAAGTCATTATAGTCTATGGCAATGGCAAAGCTTATAAATATTGTTTTGTAAATATCTTTCTTTCAATTTACAATCATGCAATTTGTGAGTTTTGTATCATCATAAGCATTGCAAAGTTGCAAGCATGATGATTCACATGGATTTTTCAGGGATTGGTTATTTAGAAGCCAAATACATATATGAGGCTCTTCTAAAGTCAACCCCAGAAAGCCGCAATATCTTTGGTCAGCTTTCAGGTGCTGCTGTAAGATCAATGGCAACTCTCTCTCTCTCTCTCTCTCTTCTGTTATAAAACCAAATAGTATTTTCATTGTGAAACACAACTTTTATTTCAATTTTGTCAGGGTGTTTGGGAAGCAATTGTACGTGCTTATGAGAAAGAACGTATTTTCCTTGGTGAGGCTGCCCAGATAATGGTTCAAAATGTTAATTATGAAATGTAAGTTTCACCAATATTATGAAGTGGTCATAAATCAATATTTGAAGCTTTTTTCAAGGATTGATGTTTTAGAACCCTGCATGATTGGCTGGTTTTATTCTCTAGCCCCTACCATAAGAAACAGACTCAAAAGGTTCAGCATCAATTATCTGAATTGGAACGCAAGGAAGCCGATATAAAAAGAAATGCAACTCTTTCAGCAGCTAAATTTATAGAAGCTTGCCAGGAGCTAGGATTGCAGGTTTTGCCCTTTTTTTTCTGTTTGTGATTGTTTACTTACTTTTCACTTCTTTTTCTTTGACAATCTTTAAGTTTCTTTTCATGTTTTCCAATCATTCAGGGAGTAAATGTGAAGTCAGAATTATTAGAGACTGCAACAAGTACACTTCCAAGCACTTTCAGCAGAATTTTGGAAGTACTGAACAGTGATTCTGTGTCCCAAGCCATTGAATTTTATTCAAACTTTGTTAAAGGTGCTCATATGGAAAATAATGTAAGAGAATCGTTACTTGTGTTTTGTTTTTAACTCTTTGGTCTAAAAGCAAGTTCAGTATTTCTTTCTTGCACTTGTAACAATTATTTTTGAAAAAAGTTTTGCTAGTTTGTGGATGGTGCTATGATGAGTGTTATGTGTACTGGCATTCTGGCAATATTATCAGTTAACTTTTTCTGGTTGCAGAAACCACTTGGTGCTGTGTTACAAAATTTAAGGAATGTCAGAGAAAGTCCACCTTCTCTTAATGTATCTGCGAGCACTGAGATACATCATTCTGTAACTGCACAAGCCAGTCATGATGGGGTAAGCCATGCCATCACTGAAGTAGACATCACAGCTGATGGCATTGATTGGGATATCACCTTGGACAGCCCTCAAATTGATTGGGACATTGGTACTGTAGAAGAAACAGAAGAAAATGGTAATGGATTGGGTCCTTATGAAATTGTTAATGCCAGTGATGCCATGGAACCACATCTTGAGAACCAAGGTGAATCCTCAGTTCCTGAGGTCCCTGTATCAGAAATATCTTGGGATATTAGTGTCGACAATCCCCAAGTAGATGCAGATGAAGATGTTGGCTTGCTGAATACAGTACCAAATGCGAGTACATTGACTGAAGCCCACACCACTAGCAATGAAAGGAGTCCATTTCTGGAGACAGAATATAGGAATAAAATTCTTGATGATTTATTTGAGGTCTGTATATATTCTGCAAAAATTATTTCTCTACTTGACCACTATCACTATCATTATTGTTTTCTTCAATTTTGTGACAGCCTGTAGGTGCTCATCTTGTACACATGGAATACATTGTTAGAAAATCCTAAAGATTGTCATGATGCAACTTGTCCATGCTATGAATTCATGTCATCTTTTTTTTTTTTTTTTTTTTTTTTTCACCTTGCACATCAGGTTAAAGCATTCCTGAATCAACGTTTGATTGAGTCAACAAATGAAGAAACTTTATCTTTGCAACATCAAGTACAGGCAGTTGCCCCTTTTGTGCTGCAACAATACACTTCTGATTCAATTCAGATGATGATGTCTGATGTTTCCTCAGCCATTTCGTTGCTGACAAATAGGAAAACTCGTGACTTGATCATGATCCTCAACTCCAAAAGGTACTTTCCAGGCCATTTAGTAGAGCGACACTTGCATATTTTTTCCCCTGTGCCAGTATTCTATTATAGTTGTACTTGCTTTTTCATAGTAGTATAACTACTATGCCAAAGCCTCAGTACCTCAATGCTGGTCCGAAACACCTTACCCTCCCACAGTCTAGCGTGCTTTAGTCTTTTCAAGATGCCTAGGACTTGTAAATGTCATGTTATATCCACTAAAGTCAAATTTTCGCATACTAATTTGGACCATGGTCCTATTTCTTTGAAACAATATATGTTATTCTGTAACAACCTCAAATAGAATGATTTGACACCTAGTACTACCTGAGTTTCTTTTAGCATCATATATTTGTTTGAAGATTTGATGTGCTGAACAATTTTTCATAGTTTGCAAGTTCTTTACTTTGCTCCTTGTAATGCATTACACTGTTTTGAGGAAAAGAGATTGCTCTTTTTTCTTTAAAAAATAATAATAATAATAATAATAATAATAATAATAATAATAATAAAAATCAATAACCATGAAAGTATTCTCCCTTATTCTGTTTATTACTTTTAGGGTCCGTTTGGAAAGCAGGAAAATGACTTCTGGAAAATGACTTCTGGAAAATGAGTCATTTTCCAAAAGTCATTTTCTTTTCTGGTGTTTGGCTGCAAAATGGAAAACTGTCTTTTGGTGTTTGGCTCATTTTCTGGAAATGATATAGAATTGTATAATTAAACATTTTAAATAATTAATTATTTTGTTTAAAATATATAACATTTACAATAATATTATAAATAATAATATTTATTAATAAAATCAAATAATATTATTTAATAAAAAAAATTAAAAAAAAAAAAGAAAACAACAAAACAAAAAAAAAAGGCGGAAACCAGAGAGTTGTACTCTCTGGTTTCCGCCATTCTCTCTGGCTTCCGGCCTGAAAGGCGGAAACCAGAGAGCTCTCTGGTTTCCGCGGCCGGAAGCCAGAGAGAAGATCTCTGGTTTCCGGCGGAAACCAGGGAGAAGCTCTCTGGTTTCCGGCGGAAACCAGAGAGAGCTTTCTCGCTGGTTTCCGCCGGAAACCAGAGAACTTTTCTCTGGTTTCCGGCCAGAAACCAGTGAAGGTATCTCTCTGGTTTCCGCCGGAAACCAGAGAACTTTTCTGGTTTCCGGCCAGAAACCAGTGAAGGTATGGTGTTGTTGAAGGAGGAAGTCTGGCTTTGGTGTGTGTGTTTAGAAGATGGAAAATGACTTCCCCCAAAAAAAAGGGGAAGTCATTTTCCGGAAAATAGGTGTGATTTTCCATTGACCATAAGTTGTTTTCCATTGACTTTCATTTTCCTTGCGTAGCCAAACACCAGAAACCCGGAAAATGATTTCCAGAAATCATTTTCCGGGTTTCCAAACACACCCTTAGGTGATTGGTAAAAAGGCACGAACTCCCTACTTAGTGGTGAGTGATCTTTATCGATGTTGATTGAACTATTCATTTACATTTCAGATTTCTTGAACGAATGACAAATACATTGGAGGAAAAGAAGCGACATGAAATTAAACTGAAAGAGGGATTGAAAGACTTGGCTTCTAAACGCATGGAACTGCAGAATTCTGTATCTTCATCCTGGCCAAAACAAGTGAGCTTGTTACCCTTGCATCAACCACCACTGCTACCCATCGTCTATTCACATTGAATTCATTTCCTGTATTTGGTGTTTCTAATGCAGGAAGCAGCTATTGTGAGAACCAAGAAGTTGAAGGAGCTCTGCGAGAAGACACTTTCATCTATGTTCGACGGGCGGCCTGTCAATATTATCGGAGAGATTAATACATTGCTGACAAGTAGTTCTAGTGTTTAATTTCCATAGACCTACTTTTCTGTTGGTCATAGTTGAGAAGTTAATGGTAACTATAGTTTATACACTAGCGGATTGTATAAAATACATTGCCAAAAAACTGAAAATTCAACCTGGATTGTCATACATTTTGCACTAAATTTCATCTTACCTCTAACTACACCAAGAGAGATGGATGTGTGTATTAGTGGGAGAAATTTTTTATTTTCTTATAAAAAGGAAAATGAAAATGAAAATTTTCAAAATATCAAATATCAAAATGTATTTATTATTATGAAATATTTATGTAAATGAGATTGATAATGGCATTATAATACTTGGACTGTTTAAAGTCAGATTAGGTGAAAAAACATTACTGTTGAGAAGATTCTGAAAAACGAATTATGGTTGACAATCACTTTGCGGTTTGAAGGTTGTCACCAACTTGTGGTATGCCATTATTGTTATATGGTTGGATAATTTCTACATTCTTTCAAGTTTAACCCATCACATTTCTCAAATTCACAAGTTTAAAACTCAATCCACCTATCACAAAATTTTGAATGCCCAGGCGGCTTCGCCAAGTTGTCTTTCAATATCGGTAGGCGGGTCCTTAAGTAGCTCTATATTTTGTCTCTATGATATACAAGGTTGGTCAGTTTATTGACAACATAATTTTGTTTTAAGTGTCACAAACTTAATTTCACTTAAAACAAGTTCAATTAAAATATTATTATAAAAATATTACATTTTAGTTAAAAAGATTCACAGCGTGAACAATCTTACTCAAGATTTATTCTTTTTCATAAAAGATTTCCATTAGTAAGTAAGACTTATTCTTTCTCATAAAAGATCCATTAGTAATAATTTTGGAGACAAAGCATGGGATAATTAAGGATGCATCTATATCTATCCACAAATTGATGAGGTAAAGTCTTTCTTAGGACTAAAATGCCAAATATTTGGGTTGTTTACCCATTGGAGGAGGACCACAAGAAAAGAAGAAAAAAAATCCACTTCTCATCAGCTTTGCTTGAAAAGAGAATGCCAACTTCCACATCCACAACTGCCAGTTTGACCTTCAATTTCAAAGCTGAATGCACAAGTTTATTGATGGTCTGATCTAACATCATCTTCACCCCCCATCCACCATGTTCATCATTTCCACATTATTTGGTTCAAATAACAAAACGAGCATCGAAAGCAAACTGGTAATTCAGAGTTGCGCGACTTTGAGCAAATGTCTGATGCTTCAAAAACAATAATATTGTAGTAGTAATCGACTGAATATATTCTGTACAGTTGGAGGAGGGGAAATAAAGGAGGAAGTGTTGCATTACTTTGCCTCAATGTTTCCAACCCAGCAATGACTGGTTCAAATTTAAGATGACAATGCCCAAAAGAGACCAAGTCCAGAGTCCAGAGATAAGGACAGAAAACAACTTGTAAAGTCTCCTCGCCTTACTGTTGGACTAATGGCATCTGACACCCTAAAGAGCTAAACTTGTATATATCAGGGGAACGAAACCCGCAGCCACTACTCAAGGGTGTGCACGGGGTAAATCCTGCCTTGTGACTGGAATGAGACAAACCAGCCTAGGTTGCCCATAGCTGACCGGCTCAAACTAAAAGGCCAATATGCCCTGCTCCAACTGGGAGTTGAACTTGAAACCCCATGGTTACCTAGCTAACAGTCTGACCAACTTGGCTAGAGTTGTCCCTAGTTCCTTACCAAGTTTGAATTTGAAACAAGAACCCCAAAAAACGAAAAGCATCTTAATATAGCCAATAATCATCAGCATTATCAATATGCACAAATCACATGAAATTTAGTTATGTTAACTGAAAGGCTCCTTCCACATTATTCCCATTGAAGAGGTCCAAGGTTGGCATGCAATGGGAAGATGATAGAAGGAAATATCCCAAAATATTTTGATCCCTATTGTCACACAGAGATCATCATATTCATGTTAATGAAATTTTCATAACTGCTTTATACTGATTATTGAATAATTTTAAACCAAAAGTGATGTTAAAGCGAGCATGTGTGCATATAGTAAAAAAAAAAAACATGTTAAAGAAAGCACACTGCACCTTTTTCAGTCATGCTCCTAACCTATTACATTTAAAAACAAACAGACAATAAGTCCAGATTTTAAGGAGTCAATGATGTTTAGAGAAGAAATGTGCAGAAAGTACAGACTAAAATTTCTGGAGCAATTTTCTTAAAGTGCAATACAATAACTACTCCATAAATCTTACACAAAAGAAAGAGGAATTCAACTAATTACCTGAAACTCCGATAATCCCGTGTTATCAGTTATAGATCAGTATTTAGCCTCTTGACCGGAAGGCTCCTGTGTGCTTCTCAAATGGATGTAAACGCAAAGAAGTATATTACACTTGTGTGACATGAACAATGTGATAAGAACTACAGTATAGGAGAAGTAAAGTATTTACTTTATTGACTGTGCCTAACTAAAAAGAGCTAGCAAATAAATATTCCAGGAGACTAAAGACTAGTGAGAATATTTTTTCCAGAAAAATCAATTCTTCATTAACTTAAAATGGGGGTATCCAAAATCAAAGCCATATGACATAACAAAAATTGCAAAGCACATATAAACCAATATAGAAAAAAAAAAGCTATTAGAGCCTCAAAGTTCATCTGCACTCAACCCCAACTTCAGCTGCTCGTCTAGGTTTGCTCTTCCTTCTGCTCCCATTCGGTCTGAACCCAACCGACTTTATTAAGTCCTTAGAGTTGGTTTTAGTTCCCACGCCATTTTCCTCTTTAACCGAGTCCCCATTCTCCTTCACTTGTGAAGGCCGCTTCCTCTTCTTGCCATTTTCAACACCTTGATTACTATCTTTGCTCGATTTGGTGCTTTTCAAATTCTCGCCGTCTTCTTCATCTCCAGCTACCTTCTCAACTTCAACTTCATCCTCTTCCTCCTCTATTTCATCCTTCAATGGTTTCTGTGGTCTTCCTCTTCTCCTAACAGGCGGCATCTTCTCTTCTTCACCACTCCCAAGATCCTCACGAACAGACTGTTTCTTTCCCTTTCCTCTGCCTCTACCCATTCTCCAAATCCAAAAAGCTTTACTGACCTAAATTTCTACCATGAAAAAGACAAAGCATTGGGGGGGCTTAAATATTTGTCTTAACATATAGTTTAAATCTAGAATACACTGAGATTAACACAAAATCCAAAATTTCCCAAAGCTGAACCTATGGGAATCATGTACTTCAAATTATAAAGGCAAGTAAAAATAGATAGCTAATCCTATACAGAAGTACATCCTCAGAGCCTAACTGAAGAAAAAACAAGTACAAACAAATCGAAAAGAATCAAACCTATGTGTTCTTAGTGTCAGCCATTATAAGACAACAAGACATGGAATACTGATAATCATCCAACAAAACACTGAACCTTAGTAAATCATACAAAATCCTAAGATTTCAAGAGCTTAAACAGCAAAAATGAACCATAAATTGGGTATATCAGAAACTCAGAATCAAAATCTTAAACTACATACATGCATAACAACAAAAATAAAAATAAAAACCCTTCACGCATAAAAAGCATATTTGCAAACAAGTAGAAAAGTAGAAATAAGAAATCAGAAGATCAACCACAGAATAAATCTTTATGATAAAACATTGAAAGTGAGAAATAGAGCAATAGTTCATATGGAAGTTTGTTGGAACTGAAACCCCACTAAACCTGGGGAAAAAAATTGAATCTTTCCATAAACCCATCAAAGACACTGATAAATCTTATCCGTGAAGCTTCGAGGATTTGAACAGAGAGAAGGAGCGTACCAAATGAAGCTGACTTCCCAAGAAACGGCCAACACTGGCATCTTTAAGCAAGAACCCATTTTCCGAAAATCAGATTAAGCCAATCAAAACACCAGAAACCCCCCATAATCAGATGCTTTGTCCAGCTCTCCTGGCTCTCTCAGATTAGTGCTGGAATATTAATGGAAGCAGAAAAAAAAAATTGATCTGAAGGGAAAATAAAGAAACCCAGATGATAAAATTAAGAGAGTGAGAAAAAGGTTAAGAATTAGAGCAGAGATTTGAAGAGATAAATCTGTAGAATGATGAGAGGCTGAAGAGGAGAGGGAATAAGCTAAGGCAGAGGCAAAGAAGAGTGCAGAGAGAATGAAAAAACAAATGGGACAGTAGCAGTAGAAGTAGAATAAAATAATTAAGGATTTATTTTGTTGGTTGGACTGTTTGGGTAATTAGGTTTTAGAGATTAAAAGAATGGTGGCTTTTCAAATTTTATTACTCCGTATTAAAATTAAAATTTTATTTATTCACTTTTGTATTCCATTGATTATTAACATTTGGTTATGACTAAGTGATTACTGATTAGTGAATAGACTGCAACTTGTGCTTCATTTAATAATTTTAATTAGAATCATGATAGACAAAAATTGGAGAAACTTTCAATATAGTTTATAGGTATATATAGTTTAATTTATTCACTGATATTAAATTAAACTATAAATAATTTGAATTGTTTATTAAATTAAACATACATATTAAGTTTTATTATCATGTCATGATGTTAATATTTATCTCTTAATATATTATAAGATAAATTTAAAGAGAAAAATATATAATTAATCGTTTATCAATAATTGCTAAATGCAATTATAGTTCATTTGAAATTTAGTTACCGGTTTAGTTATTTAGTGATAAGATTGCAATCAAATTGCACTAATGGTTTACTTCAATAAAATAAAATAAAATAAAATAATAATAATAATAATAATAATAATAATAATAATAATAATAATAATAATAATAATAATAATAAAAGAATGAATTGCGCTTTTGATTTATGAGATAAGTCTTCTTTTAATTTAGGAGTGAATCAATGTAACATATTATTATGTATTAAAGTCTCGTTTTAAGAATTTTATTAAACAATTACGCATATATTTTGGAGTGTTATAAGTTTTCATCTAACCTCTATTTTTATTTTTTGTAACGGTGATCATAAATGCACAAAATTAAATTTAAACTAATGGCGGCTACTATGATGATTCATAATTAGAAATGACATTAGTTGTAGACAATTGAGGAAAACTATGGACAAGCATTTTGAAAAATCTGTAAATTATTGAGACACATCTTATAATTTTATCTAATCTATTAAAGCTCTAAAGTAATAGGGGTAAGAACCATTAAAATTACAATACAATCCTTTTCTAAAGGATTAACTAATTTGATTGTTATTACCTTTTTTAGAGACTAAAGTTAATCATTAAAATAGATGACAAATATTACTCTGTGTAGTGGTTAAAACGACATTTGTTTTTTATTAACATAAGAAAAATAAATTAAATCAATTTTAACAATATGCAGTTACTTCCCATTATAGTTTTTTTTGTTTTAATTAAAATATTATTAAATGAACAAAATCAAGAAAATGTGTAAATATTCAATGGATGCGCAATATTCCAAAAATACCTAACAATTTCATGAACTTTTGACCTCAGAAAAGTGTTTTTTTTAATGGTAAAATATTAATTCTTTTTTCTTTTCAATTGTTGTATGAAGTGAATCAATGGTTAAGGTTGAAGGTGAAGGCCAAAGGTATATATAAATTTCAAAGGAATATATAGTGTGAAAGAAAAGGTAAAAAAGTAAAAACATATATATAGATGGGAGAGAGGGAGGGAGGGTTTAATGTAGACATAAATAAAAGCATGATCCAAGCTAAGGTTGACCCCATAGAGTTGGTGTGGGGTTGTAATTGAGTTGTCTTTCAGTATGGTAGCTGTGATTATTAGCATCATTTTGGAAGCATGCCCATTTTCTCCTTTTATTTTTTCCGCTCTCAATTCAACAATCAACAATCAATCTTCATTCTATCATATATTCGGTATTAAAAATCATTCTCCAAAAGGTTGAACCCCAACTCTAATGGTATTAAAAATTATGTTACCACATTTAGGGGTGTTTGGCAATCAGCTGATAGCTGATTGGATTAACTGATAACTAATAGCTGATTGTGTTAGCTACTTTGATCAGCTGATTATATTAGTTCTGATTAATTCATAGTAAAGTGTAAGAAAATACTCCCTGGTAAAGATAATTACAAGATCTCCCGTGTTTTGAAAGAGGAGAAAAATGCGTGTAGACTTTCTAGCTAATATGAGGAATGAATGACTATTGTGTTGGACACTTGGACCGTCCTTAAAATAATATGATAAATCAACTCCATTTAGATGCTTTAGGCGCTTTAACGAGAAGACTCAAACGTTCCAAAAAAGAAAAGATCAAAATTTTATATACCATATTTTATTTAGAGTTTCTTTTCTTAATATACTGATTGGTAAATGGCTGTTAGCTGTTAGCTGTTAGCGGTTAGCTGATTAAGTTAATTAGATGGTATAACTAATTGATAACATTAGCTGATTGTAGAAAAGTGTTTGATAAATTAGCTGTTAACTGATAGATGTTTGATATAATTTCTTTTCTCAAAAAGTTAATTGAAAAGTTGTTTTGAGTAATTTTTCTCAACTAATAGTGATCAAATAAATTAAAATTGATCTATAAGTTAACTATTTTACCAAACAAGTGTATATGTATTTTATTCATAAGTTTGAATTGAAATATTATTTTTAAAATAGAACCGAAGTCTTTCAACTTGGGAAATCAGTGGGACCCATGTCTTTGATATTACTAAGCTTAATAAATAAATAAATAATCTTTCATATTTTACTGCCTCTTGATGAAGATATAAAAGATTTGTTTTATTTTTAAAATTTCTTTCTAGTTTTTTCTCCAATGAACTCATAGTTGATGTATAGTAGGAATAGTATTCTTTGTCTCTTTGCTTACTACGCTTAAAAAATTTTCAACTTGACAAGGTCTATTAAATACTAGGAGACAAATCTTCACAAATATCATGTGATATTGATTAAGAAATATAATTTTTTGATGTCATATTTCTGAAAACTTTGCACCTTATAATAATGTTGTCTAAGATTCTCCAATCACATTTTATACCATGTTGCTCCATAATTTCACTTTACCTATGCTTTTTTTTTTTTTTTTCATTTCTTTCCAATTAATTTAACCATTAATATATAGCTAAACTTATTTTTATTACCACTATCTATTCTAATTTTCTCTCATATAATTCACGTCTAATTTTTATTTTTTTTAAAATCTGTTTTTGATTATTTTATTAGAAGAAATAAAAAATTATCACTTACTTGACACTTACTAGATTTTTATGTATATTTTTTTTCCATATGTGATAGTAACATGTACTTTTTTTAAAAGAAGCTAAATAATCAAAACACCATATAAAATATTAGGAATAATGTTATTAAGATTTTGATGATGTTAATATTGTTTAAAGTTAAGGAATTTATCTAGTAAGTGAAAAATTGGAACAATTTTATGAAAAAAAAAATTAGAGAATTGGAAAATTAAAAAAGAAAAATTTATTTATTAAACTCAATTCTCCAATTTTGTAACATATCTCGATTCTTGCCCTTTCATTAGTTTTGGAGAATTTAGAATCACAATTCTCCTAATGAAGTAGTAGAAAAACATGAGCAAATAGTGCAAAGGGGTTAATAGTTTGAATCTCTTATGTGTATAACCTAATTATTTTGTTAGTAAATTAAATGTATGGAGAAATGAAAATTGAAAAATGAAAGTATTCCCAATTTTATGTTGCAAGTATTATGCTTGATAGGACAAATTGTAAATGTCAAAATAAGGCTTAGTTTATTCGTTAAAAATTAAGATCTGTCCTAGCTCCTACATAGGAATGACAATAAGTCGGGTGTTGGTTGGAGATGACTAGCTACATCCACTGCTTGATCCACCTTATACTTTATCCACTCAGTCCCACTCCTTACCCGTAGTGGGTGGACTTTTTCAAAATTCATCATCACTCCACTGAGTGCGGTACTCACTATTTATTATCTTATTTTAAAATTTTTAAAAATATTAATATTTAAATTACTTATACATAATAAAATAATAAAATTTACTAGTTATATTACAACATAAAATAATAGAAATATTCAAATATAATAACTAAATTATTAATTTTTCAAATAAACTTATTAGTTTAGAACTAAAAACAACAAAAAGTTAACAAGAATTATTGAAATCTTAAAATTAACGGCATAGTACTTATTGAGAGAGAGAGACGATGAGTTGAGTGAGATTCTAGACGAGTTTAATATTTTAAGATTAATCTCCGATCCACCACCCACTATATCATTTTAAAATGTCCAATTCATACAAGATGAATATTTAGAGAACGAATTAAAATGGCCATCCTTACCCCCTAGCTAGTCCCCTACATTCATAATGGAGTTAATACCCAATATAGTCCTCGACTATAATGATTTTACTCAATTTAGTCTTAAATGACTTTTTGTGCTCAATTTAGTCATCGACTTTGATAATTTTACACAATAGTCTTTTGTTAAAAATTCTGTTAGTTGATTGTTAGAAATAGGATCCTAATTGTGAATTTCTCATCCTTCATCCCATTTGGGATGATTCCTTCTTCTTCCTCTTATTAAGATCTACACATAAATGCAAATGATTCCTCTTCTTCCCCTTATTTATTTAGGGTTGAAGTTGATTTAGGAATGAAGATCTCCATTTCTGCGTGGAGCTTAATAAAAGAAAGAAGAAGGAACATCCCAAATGGGATGAAGTATGATGAGAAATTACCATTAGACCCTATTTCTAACAATCAACTAACAATTTTTTTTAACAAATGATTAAATTGTGTAAAATCATAAAAATTAAAGACTAAATTAAACACAAAAAATTATTTAGAACTAAATTAAACAAAACCATTATAATCGAGTACTATATTAAGTATTAACTCTTCATAATGCCTTCCTTCAACGTGAGGCAGGCAGTATTCACACTGTTTTAACCTTTTGGTAATTTAGCATCCAAAACGCGTGAATTTTAGTGTACACCAATCTTTATTGGTCCACTCCGCTTTCAGTGTTTCACATTTTTGACAATTTTCAATTCTTCAAACACAAGCACCTGCCAACCTTAAACAATTCAAGATTTTGGAGGACGTACGCTAATGGTCAAATGATTATTCCCTTAAATATTTGGTAAGCGTGTCCAAATACATATATTTAGATTCAATTTTAATACATA